GTTTGACTTTGCTGTGTTCATTGGTGGCATAGCAGACTTTCATTACTGAGAAATTATGTGGCAGTAGACAACAATCACCTAAAGAAAAGGCCATGAAACTATCTGAAATAATATTAAGGAGTAAATTTGATGTCCAGCATCTTCCAACATCTTTGATAGGAGATAACTTTCTAAATGCCCTCAGTTTCCAAGGGAATCTGCTGAAGGGAATGATATTTAGTCTCTGAGAGAGACCCTCTGATTTATTTACTAGTATTTCTTGAATTAAAAGCTGAGAATTTCAAAATGTCCTAACAAATAGAGGCAGCTCGGTCCCTCTGGAAATCTGTGGAGCAGCTCTTAAGATGTCACACTTCCATAACCCCTGACCAAGCCTTGCTTAATCATTTGGCAAAGGTTAATTACCTCCTCAAGAAGGAGGCAATCACTCATGAGGCTGTAGATCCCTGAAGGATGGGAAGTGTCTGAGAAAATCCTGCCCTGCCAAACCAGTCCTGCACTAATTTATGGAAGAACTGTCTTTGATTTCAACTTTGGTTTTCAACTACTATCAAGCTGTCCCTTCTTCCTTCACTTTTCTGCATGACTTCTGGCAGTGGCTTGACTAAAAAATGAGCTATTGAGAATTACCTGTATATGGTGTTATTGTTTTCCTTAATTTCTCAGGTGTTGGTCTACAAGTTCCTTTCTGTTGATCTTTGTGCATACAGCTGGGAGGTAAACATGAGATTGCAAAGGATTTAGGGCCATTATACCTGTCTGTGGTCTCAAGGCTTTTTCTCTGAGAGGAAAATTTTCCTCCATTTGTGGAGGGAGCCCCTAAGGAAGAGCAGGACCTGCATGAAAACAGGGTTCTGAAGTTCTGTAGTAGAGATCACTTGCTGACACAAAGCACAGGCAAATGTTTACAGCTGTTTCATTTAGCCTGCTGCAGCCTCTGAGGCACATCGGCATGTTGATGCCTGTCTGAATCTCTGATTTTTCAGAGAGCGATAGCTCTTTCTGCTTGTCACAGCCCATGCGGACCAAGAAAGCAGGGACCTTCCTTCATGTCAGGAAGATCTTATGTCTTGCTCTTCAAACTTCAGACACAAGAGCTACTAAAATACCTGTACTTATAGTTTTGATGCCATAAAGTTTTATTATTGCAGTAGAGTTAGCCTTTAAATACTCAGCCATGCTAAAGCAGAATGCCACAGTGCAAAGAACCTCCCTTTTTTAATTACTGCATAAATTAAATCTTTCCATTCTCAGGAAGCCACTCTGAATTCCTTTCTGCTAGAGGGTTCACTGTAAGGATTTGTTACCTATTATAATACAGGATTTTCCAACTGAAAATGGCCACCTCCCTATAAGAAGTCAACTTGTTACAGCTCTGATGGTTATCCCCAGCATGCAAGCCCTCCCAGACCTTCATTAGTACTGGCTCTCACTTGGATTATGTGCACCCTCAAAATGTGACCTACAGAGATGCCCAAGTGACAGAGAAGAGTCATGTTTGAACAGCTAGGCTTCTTAGCTTAAGCTTTTTGACATATCAGTTCGAGGCAGAAGCAGCAGTGATGGTCCCAGAAAAGGGAGATGGTAGGATGAGGATGAAGTGACAGTGATGACAGTAAGGCAGGACTATGGGACAGGTTCAGTAGGAACAAAATAGCAGAAGCTATAAATGAGGGAAAGGACCATGGCAACAGACATTGGGCATATCTTCAAATTGTTTTCATCACTGCCTGGATACCAACAGCAGTAAATTCTTTACACATTTTACAAAAAATTCTTCTCCTTTTGCTAATATACGGGAAGATCTGTACAGGAGACTGTTTCCTATATTCCACTAATTTTCTTAATAGCATGAAGACCTTGCTAAGAACTACCATGAGGATTGCCTCAGTCAAACCTTGTTTATTAAAGGAAGACAAAGTCCTGAATAAAGAAATCAGTAACAACTTCAACATTGTAACCCCACTGAATGAAATGAGTGCACTGTCAAAGCTAGTGGTAATATTGCTTTTGGCTTGGGTGAGGGCAGGGGGGGACAGGACAGGCAGAAGCTGTTTAAAAGATTTTGTTCTCAAATTGCTACTTTTTTGTAGATTTTCAGCTGACATAAATTGGGGTAACTTAACTACAGTGAAGTTACACATCTTGGTTATGGAAACTGAATCTCTTATCCTTTGATTCTCAGGCGGTTCAGGGTCTGGTTAAAAGTTTTGCTAGTGTGACATCTCTCAAAGTACAGAAGTCTGAACTGTTTCTTCTTCTAATTGTTTTTCTTTCAAAATGGTTTCATCCACAGTCACTTATTTATGAAAGAAATATTTCCCTACGCAGCTCTGGTTACACATTTTTAGAGATCTGAAATAATCTTTTGTTAGCACAAGAGAGCAGAAAAAATGTGCAAAACATTGTATTACTCAAGAAAATAATTTAATCTTTACCTTTGTGCTCTCATGAAAGCTACAGATTGTAAAAGTTCTACTAAACTCAAGTAGCATTGCCAGTTTAAATGCTCAAATTCCCTTTAGCTACTGGGTCATTCACACTAGACATCAAAGTTCAGGTTTGATATCACGTATGCAAGTTACCTGTACTAGTGACAACCTACCAATTGCATTATGTATCCTACTTTACAGGAAAATCACTTTATCTCATTTATCAGTTGGACTTCATTTCAGGAAAACTGATAGCCATTGGTTTTGATCACTACTTGCATCGCTCCACATTAACATCACCTCAGGAACAGCTGCATTTTAAATTCTCACTCCCTTTGAGCTGTACCCACTTAAACATTTGTGCATTTTGGCTCAGAGCCTGAGCTCTGAATGACCCATATTTAAAAATAAAAACAAAATTAAAAAAAAATTCCCAGATCAGGCACAAAAAGCACAAGGTGATTTTAAACCAGCTTTGCTGCCACAGTGGTATTAATACAGAGTTCTGCCAAAATTTCTTGCATGCTGCTGTCCTGATGGGTTATCCGGACAGCTGCGATCACGGGAGGGTGTTTCTGCCAACTTTTCACATAGCCATGGAGAGCAGAAACGGAGCCAGGAGGTTCTGGAAGTATTAGCTTGTATTTCGGGGGGGGGGAGGTGATTTTGTTTCCTCTCCTTTCTTTCACACAATCAGAAATATTGTGTTAGTGGTAGGAAACTCGGAACGCTTATCAGGAATTTTAAGGAAGATACATGACTGGTGTATTGGATGCCTGAAATTCCTGCCCCCCCCCAGACCAAGGTGACGTTTTTTATTCTTACAGGCACAGAGTGAGAAATAAGAGGAGTCACTCGTGTGTGAAGAGGAGGTCAGCAAAAGATGGGAGGCTCAGCAGTCACGCTTGAACACCTATGGCAAAAATTAATATTTAACTTTACTCCAGTGTTCCCACAGTGCTCTTGTGGTTAGAGAAAGTGCCATTGGGATGAGAAAAACATTTAATCTTTAAAGAGAGTTGGAGATCTTTTAATCTTTAATCCTCATCAGGCCTCATTAGTTATTTGATCAACTAGGAAACTGAGTTGCACCAAAAAAGCTGTAAAAGAACACAAATAATTATAAACTATTCAGGGCTGCTAAAACAGACATATTTACAAAGGAAAACAAACCTTTGGGGAATTTTGGGGAGGGCAGGTTGTTTGTTTTAAACTGGCCATTGAGCCACATTTTAACAACATATATTTGTCATCAAATATTTTTGGCCAGTGTTGCGTGGAGGAGCTTTGTTCTACTCATAGAACTTGGCTTTACCTAATAGGATTTTGAGGAAGTTTTCTTTGGAAGTGTTTTAGAGTGTGTGTGGAGGGGGAGAAGGGAAAGA